AAAACACATCATTCATAACAGAAACAGCTCGCAATAGCCACAGGAACGTTGCTGCAAGACAGGCATATGTAACGACGACTTAGCGCTCTTAAACGCGTGTGTCATTAAATACAGTCCTCCTGACAACAGGCCAGTGAAAAATCTAACAATCTACAGCAAAACCATCAATTATTATGGGCGTTATAACATACGTGTGCAGCTGGACGAAACATACACGTCGAACCCCCCCAGACGATTTAAATCCCTGACGAAACATACACGACGAACCACGGCAACGGGTTAATGGCAGGCAGGGCATAATTCAACAATTAAAGCAAAATTATTCTGCAGTTATTCCAAGCACTGGAATCAGAAGAAGTCATGGGTAAAACTTATGATGCTCACTCTGCTTTGGAAGTTTTCATAAGCACAGAGTGTCTAGTGGAATTTACAAGTTAACAATTCTATAACTTAATGAACTATCTTTATAGCCAAAATTCTCAGTAATATGAATTTCCAGTATGAGACATTTGTCAAACATAACCTCAAAGTTTACACAGCTACCAAAGTTACTTTATAATAATAATAATAATAATAATATCTTTATTGCTTCAAGAAAAACGTACAGGCGACACAATCACCACAGTTGTAGAAGCAGTCCCAAATAGTAAAATATACTATAATAAAACAGTTGCAATAATACAACTTAGTCAATGCTTAGTATAATAAATCAATAATAACTAAAATACGGACATTATAAGCAATTAATAATAAAAGTATACATACATTTATACAGAGTGTAAAAAAACTACNTAAAAAATCCCCGGCAAGAGGCTCTAGAATTTACATTCATAATACTCCTTATAATTCTTTTTTGCACTATGAAGACATCCTTGCTATTAGTGGCATTTCCCCAAAAGGCAATTCCATATACAATTATAGAGTGAGCATAGGCAAAATATATCATTTTTAGATCATTAATAGATAGTAACGATTTCAGAGACCTAATGGCAAAGCAAGCAGAATTTAATTTCTTTATTGTTTTAGATATATGTCCTTGCCAAGATAAGGATGGATCCAAAGACACCCCCAGAAAGTCCATAACACACACTTATGCACACTTCTGCCCTTAAGATGGAGGCTGTAGGTTCCTCAAAACCACTGGTACCTATCTACCAAATAACATGGCATCATATTCCAGAGGAGTGTACTCTTATGATATTGGGGTGCTAGACAGTGAATAGACGAGCTTCAAGCTATACAACCTGCTTACTTATCACTTGGGTGAGATGTGTCAATATGAGAACATACCCTGCTGGTGTGGTCGTTGATCAGTGTAGTAGCTTCGAATGCTGGCATCCAGCTGTGCTGCCCTCCGTTCATCTCGAAAAACCTTGTGGGCAACTGCAGGCAACATGTGAAACAGATCCTGGCCACATGGCAGTGTCTGCACAAATCTAGCAACCTGGCTGAAGAGAATGTTGTAAGGAATCCTACTGTCTGTGTTGTAGCTTCTTACACGTTGACAGATTCTGATGTGAAATTGCTGCAAAATGCATAATGTATGCTATAAAATCAAATAAAAAGGTTCATGAAACAACACTATTTAAACATGTGATGGTTTCTAGACAAAACACTGGGCTCTCATACAGAGAGTCCTGAGTTTGATTCCCAGTCAGATCTCTGTGCAAATTTTTCCGCTCATTAACTGAATCTTTCAGATCTACCAAAGATAAAACTTTATGAATGTTAAAAATGGTTTTCCTTAGTTCCTCTGGAGAATGGCAGAACAGTACCTCGCTCATGCCATGCTCACTTCCTTACCAAATCACCATTCATCCTACCACTCAGTACTAAAAAGCCTGAGAAGATCAGGTAAAAGGTAAAGCTATGGCTGTAACAGTCCATGGAGGCTCATAGGGTTGTGAGACATTGAGGGTCCCACATTATCAAGACAATCGGCTCACAGATAGTGGTACGGTTGTCAGCCTTAGAAAGTCATCAAATAACATGTACACATACAAAATGTCAGCTATGTCTATGAATCCCATACCTTGAGATCAGCAGCAGGTATTATGTCATTGCCAGTCAGTGAAGCAAGAACAGGCAACTGATTTGGATGTATGGCCAGACGTCTTGCCAGGGCCCAGCGATTGTAGTTCAATGTAGTCATAGTTAATAGGTTCAGTTTCAACATGGATAAATAGTACTGGGCTCCTTCGTAAATAATGTAATCCGTGTCTTGGCCAAGAATTGCAAAGGACTGATGGTCACGTGCATATTCTGCTATCTCTTCATCACACTCGCGTATCGATGTGAAAATCTGGACACAAGTGTGGAAAATTCTATAATTACATTTTAACACGCGTTAAAGATATTAACTGAATTGTTGCATACAATTATTTATTAACAAAGATTGTTTATGTATGTTTCTGTCAAACAACAACTTTTTGTACTGAAATGCAAGTTACATATTTTGGGATAGGGAACTGCGTATCTTAACATAAGCTTATTATGACTGCAATTGCCCATCGGTATATACGTATATATGTCAAGTGAGAGTGACTCTCGATGGGATTCTGAATTGAATATTGGGTTTATTGACCTATTACACACTCATGATTCATGACTACACTGCCACACATGCTAACTTTTTTCCAGCCTGCAGCGTCTTCACGGTAACGGCTTCTAACAGTGGAGATTCTTCAACTTCCGTGCTCAAGTCCTCTCTGAATGGCGGGCTTCCTTCCAACTGCTACTGAAGTCTTCACTTCATCCTGCTTGTATCTACTCAGCATGAACCACCCTTTCCAACAGTACCTTTATTATTGTGTGGGAACCTGTTTGTTTGTGACCACTGCCTAGAAACAGATCTACATGCTACAATATGTACCTACATACAAAACTGAATCAAATTTGTTAATATTATTAAATTATATATACAGTCAACTCTCGATTATCCGGGATAATGGTGGGCATGGAAATCATGATCAATCGAAAACTCGGTTAAGACAAATGTTATTAAAAGTAGTACTGTAATACTGTACCTTCATAATACAGGCCTACCTGTATTTAAATTTACTCAACCTCATTTTTATGTCATCTCATGGCCTATTTAATACTTTATTTACATTATACTGAAGTGTGAATTAGTTATTTCAATCACAGTGTTCAACAACATCCAACACTTTTTACGAATATTCACACTTAATACTTAAAAAAATTAATATTGTCGTTTGCTTTTTCGCGGCATTTTCCTTTTCACGGATATCCGTATGAAGCCTATGTAATATTAATGTAATATTAGCTTGTCACTTAATAAACTGTTCTCTTCACTCTCAAGATAGTCTAGTAAGGATTCCAAATGATTAAGAGCAGCACCATGGGATATTTTCTTACTAGCAGCACTGTCCACCTCTTCCTCATTCTCACTTTCTTCCCACTCTTCTGGCTGCACCCCCACTGAACTTACGGTTTCGTCACTGCTTAACATTTCGAAGCCCGGCTCACACGAGTTTCTGTTGAATACTTAACACAACACGTGTCCTTTTACACCCTGACATTTTGCTAATGCACTTGAAGATTGATACAAAGAGACCAACTGGGGCAGTGTATCTATCCTTGAAACTTTCCACAAATCCTTGCATTCTTTCACCCCTACCCTAGAACAATGAATATTAAACAACATATAAGCCTCAAAAAAGCCTCGGTAGCCTCGGTTAAGCCGCAAACCAGTTAATCTGCCCCTCGATAATCGAGAATTGACTGTATATATATTTATAGAGTAGTGCTCATTATGAAAATCTGTATCACTTGTGCCGATGGTATTTGTATCCTAGTTGCACATCCATGTTATTGGATGCAAACACAACAGAGATGTAGCATTTGTGAAGTTCTCTGAGATGTGAATGGCAATGAACTTCACTATTTTATAATATGGTAAAGTTGTCCCTAAGCTTTATTAATTAAGCACCACTCCATGAAGATGTATGAGGGAGTGGAGCTATAGCTCTAACATTCTTGATCTTGCCACTAAAAAGACGTGAGTAGTTAGCTTCATGCCACAGCTGCTTAACCCCTTGGGGAAACAGCCCCCAATACCACTGGACATGAGGATTGGTGGGCTCCAGAGCTGCTATAGATCCTACAGAGCAGATGAAAATCTTGCCCCTACCAAGAATAAAATCCCAACTTTCCAGTCCATAGCCTACTGCTATACCAACTGAGCTTCACAATTTTATAAATATAAGTATGACTGTTTTATAAATATAAATAAAGTGTAATCATTTTTTAATGTCTTGATAGGGCTTTCATAATGCAGTTACAGTCAGAACTGAGATACACACGTCCTCCATACATTCATGTAAAAAGGTCTGACAATGACATGTTGAAATGTATAACCTACATTTTGAGTATTAAAAATTGTTATTTGCCAGAAATGTATCCTTCTTAAATCCTTCTTAAAAATATGAACTGTGAAGTATGCATGAAGAAGTTCTGGGAAAAACTGATCACCTACTTTCCTTGATATGATCATTGGCTCAAAAGTCCTGTGTGGACCCTGGTCTTCCTCAGGAGCTTCTGCCAGTCTTCTCTATTCATCATCAGATAGTCCGGCCAGCTGTTGCTTCTTCAGTGTTTGTGAATTTTTTCCAGGGTGGAGTTGTCAGCCTCACACCCAACCCCTAGCAATCCTGAAGGGCCAATGTTCTCTGTCAGGGTTACCTCCCTTAGCCAGTTGTCCCAATTTGGAAGCATCAGGAACTCACTTTTCGCCCTTGTATGACTTAGCCGTAAAAGATGTTGCCCAGGGGTCATGATGTGGATACACATGCATCGGACTTGGTAGGCATAAATGTTATTACCAGAGTTTTGATAGCACACATCCACCAGCAAGATGTGTACTCTCGGGGCCATATATTACCTCTCTAATCCCCTGATATGACAAAGACTGCATACAAAATAATGTGTCCAACAATTCTTCTATTGTTATGTGTGTATTGCCATGGTAACATTTCTTACCGTGCTGCTGCCTAACAACAATAGGGGATTTTTACCAAACAGCTGCCTAGCAACAATAAGGATACACATACAGACAAACAGCCTGATGGGAGGGATTTATGAAGTGTACCACTGTGATCGGCTCAGGTGTCATGATATACATATGAAGTTCCATAAAGATTGGTTTAGGCATTCAAAAGTTAACAGGGGGCTTACAACGACACACAAGCAGCATGGAGATTTCATACGCCTACTTTAGGAAAGTAGACTAAAAATATAACCTACTAACCGAAATTAAACTGATGTAAACATTATTACCAAGCAAGGAAAGTCATCATATATGACGAGAGCAACTTTATGCAATATTAAAATAACATAAAGTTGTACTTTGCTGAGCACCATGGCAAGAAGACATGGAGACAGGATGTATAGATATGTGCACCAAATGGTGAGCAGCAGCCATAATGCCCCAACTGCTTTGTCCATGGAGCAAGAGGTCACCATAACCACTGTATAGAAAGTTGGGTGGGCCCCAGAGTCAGCCTGACTATGGTAGAGAACAAAAACATCTCAGCACTTGCTTGAAATCAAACCCTAATTCATTGGTCATCCAGTCTGTAGCCTAGTGCCTATACTGACTGAGCTATCCCACCTCTCGCATGTAATGCTAGCATCACTGAATACTGTTTCAGACATTTATCATATATCACACATGTAGCAGGATGAGGTAGAAATTGAAATTATGAAGAATGGAGGGTGTGGCAGCAACTAGGACAGTAGTTTTGTACAATAGCTGATGCTCCAATAGAGTCGTTCTGAACCTCTTCTGGGTGACAGGCAACTAAAAGATTCTTACAGTTTACAGCACACACTGTAAGGATCTGCTTTACTGAGTAGAAACAGGGCACGGATGAGTGGATTGGATTCAACTTGCACAGAATAGAGTCTAATGGTGGGATTTTTTAAACACCATGACAAATATTCAGATTCCATAAGAGTGGGGTCATTTGGGAACGGCTGAGTAACTCTCAGCTACTGACCGTGTACTATAAAGTTAATTAATTAATTAGTCTTAATTAACAGTCACCTCACAATTACACATTTCCTTGAAGATGTAACGTGTTGCCAGTCCAGGTGGTAGCTGGAAGAGACTCTGATCAACAAGTGACAAATTCTTCCATTTATTGAGAGAGTCAAAAATTTTATATACATCCTGTAGCGACTTCAATCTTCTCTGAATCCAGACTGGTCTCTTCCTTTCAATTGTTGCCCCATCAAAGAAGAAGACGAGCTTTGCTCCCACGGACTCCAATGCTTTTACAAAGTTCTGCAATTTTTCTACAAACTCCTTCAGCTGGCCACCAAGTATCCATTCTAAGGATCCGTAAAGATGACGTATACAGCAGGAACCATCCACAACAATTACTGGTTGTCTTCCAGTCTCCCGTCTATAAAAAAAAAGGAATTACAGAGGCCAAAATTTATTACCAATTCATATAATACATTTACTGCCATCATCCCAAACTGGGATCTTATTTGTTGGACCAACTTTTCTCCACAAAAATTGAATTTTTAATTTCCTACATTCAAACTGAACTGGAAGTGAACAAGTAAAAAGAAAATAAATTAACAATCAATGTACATTTCAACTTATGAAGTGCCTCTACATGGGAATTGCATCTAGATATCAAATTTACATTTGCATACAAAATGGCCACAGCCCATAACTTCACAGGATCAGGCATAAGCTGGGAATGGCTGGTATTATGAAGCAGCCACTGTAATCCCATGGAAGGAGATATGTTATTGGAGGCTTAGCAGGCCCCAAAGCTGGTCTGGATGCTGTGGTGAAGAGAAAAATCTCCCCTTTTGAGAATCCAATCCAGTCACCCAGCACACAGCCTAGTCACTATACTGACAAAATTATGGGCTAACCCACCATACGGTAAAACATACTTAAAAGGAACATAGTTCATATGGCAACCCACTTTCACTGGAAAACATCCTCAGTACTGAGAGTATGGTGTGAAGACTACTTTAAAATTAACTGTAGTAACTGGAACTATTTAATGTGGAAACTAAAATAAAAAACAGATTTTTAATTCAAAATAATCTGCTGAAATATCTTTCTTTTTCAGTAGTCTACTTTTTTAAATTATTTGAAAAGAAAAATTCTCATCACAAATCAGAAAAAAATTCGGTCAATAATCTACAAATACAATGGACTATTGGGAAAAATAAAGTTAAAATAGAAAACTAGAAGGGCTAATTGAATCTTAGTTTAATTAACAAAGCTCTTTTGACTTCCTGAGTCATTAGTGTCAAATGGTAGTATAATTTAAGAAAGAACGAATCAGAAAGAATGTGATAAACTGCCATCGTGCCCTATTTTAGACACTATACTGGTGTATGCCTGGACAGACTAAGGTAAAGCAAGAAAAGGTTTTCAGTACAGCCATCCTCTAGCCAAGATTTACCAAACATGGCACCCCTGCTTCAAACTTGGGAGGTCCCTTGGCCTGAAAATTGGCTGCACTGAGATTTTCATGCTTACTCATTTGTTCCAAGCAAATACTGGGCTGATACCTCAAATTTGCTCATGACTACTTCCTCCCATCACTCCAATTCACTGTTTGTTAACTGTCCACTCATCTGACAATAAACAGTCTAAGGTACTACCACAGTCATTAAATAATCATAAATAAAATAACAAAATAAAGCAGAAGACTGACCATGGACTTCCAGAAAATTAAATAGGAGCTCTAGGTACTCACAAATGGTATTCAGTAAAACGGAAGGGAACTGGAAATGTAAAATGGTACAAAAGTGCAGTGTACTTATCTATCATGAACATCCAACTCATGATTTGGAAATAAGTACACAGAGTATATACTGCACAGTATTTTTATACAGAAGTACTTGTGCCAAACAGAGTTTAGGAATAGGAAATAGGAAATATGTTCAGGCTCCTTGGGATTCCATTGTATAAACTGATGTTTTTATAAACAAACAGGGTAAACTGTGTGCACAAATTCTCTTAAAATTTTTGCCAGTGTACATCAAAATCTAACTGCATCTTTTCATTAAAGTACACAATACAGTTTTGTTTACTAAATTTCCAGAACGTCAGAACTTGTGTGTTTCATCATGGTCATGCCTGCGGTGCTGCTCTTACTTTTGGTTACATTGAGTTAGTTTGGCTTCGGTTATGGGGAGGAGCAAACACATTCTGCACCCTCGCACATTCTCTCAATGTTAGGTTAGGTTACACTGTTCATATGCATTGTATTTATACTAAAGTTCTTCCATTGAAATCAAAGTATGACGTTACCAATAATATCGATAAGTATGCCGTTGCCTATTTCCGTATATATTTTTTTCCCATCACTATGTATCTACAACTAACCTGTACGTGTCGATTAAATCTTTAATGTTCACTTCATAGCAAGCATCGGGACAATAGTTCTCAATGTATGTCTGGAGACCTCTAACTCCCATTATTCAATTACTGTTAGACATTTATTCATTCTTTACAATTCCGCTCTAGAACTGACACGCCCAAGGAGATAACACTAATACGGAAACCAAGGTTACCGATCACCACAGATTCGTAAATCATTAAAAACCTTACAGAAATATCTAAACTTAGGGAAGAAGCACGAACGTGTTAATAAAATTTATAACTTATGAACAACATGCTGTCAAAATGTACACTTTCGAAAGGCTTTTAGTAGCCAAATTAATAACACTGCCATCTATCGGCAAGGATCGGTACTGTTCAAGGCAAAGGTACTAGGATTTCATTCTACAAAATGGAATTACTACTACTACTACTAGTAGTTGGTTGAGGCACTATGCTACAAGCCGGAAAGTCGCGGGTTCAAGTCCCAATGAGGTAATTGGATTTTTTTCAATTGAGCTAATCCATCCAGCCACCCTATGGCCTAGTCCTCTCAGCCTGTAACAGAAATGAGTACCAGGAATGTTCTTGGAATATTCTTGGGGGTAAAGGGCGGCCGGCGCGTAGGGCTGACAACCTTGCCGCCATCTATGAGCCGATTGTCTAGAAAATGTGGGAACTTCAACATCTAAACGATCTCAACCCTATGGGCCTCCATGGGCTCCATGGCCTGTTACAGGGATACCTTCACTTTACTTTTTTACTACTACTACTACTACTACTACTATATGAATAATAATTATATACATTAGTTCCTTATTTTAACACTAATCAAGCATGGCATATGGTTTCATCCCCACAGCCTGGAGGCAAGTTAGGGTGACGTTTATTCCAAAGCCCGGGAAATTTGATTATAACGAGGCTCAGATTTATCGTCCTATCAGCCTGTCGTCTTTCCTTTTGAAAACGATGGAGAAACTAGTGGATAGGCATATCAGGGACGGGGTATTGAGGACATATCCTCTACACCGAAACCAACATGCCTACCAAACAGGTAAATCTACCGAAAGTGCACTACACAATGTGGTAACACAAATAGGAAATGCAATTGAACACAAGGATATTGCCTTAGGAGCATTCCTTAATATAGAGGGAGCTTTTGATAGAACCTCATTTGATGTAATCAAACAGGCTGCTGGAAGGCATGGCATAGAGCCTGCAATATGCAGATGGATCAGTGCTATGCTGGAAAGCAGAACCATAGCTGCTACATTATCAGGAGAAACCCTGGGGGTGTCTGCGTCTAGGGGATGTCCGCAGGGGGGCTTACTTTCGCCTCTGCTGTGGAGTCTGGTCGTCGATGATCTCCTGTGGGGACTTAATGATGATGGGTATTATACAGTAGGATATGCTGATGACACAGCAATCCTCATAAACGGAAAATTCCTTTCGACCGTATCAGAGCGTCTTCAAACAGCTCTGTACATGGTCCAATGATGGTGTGAAAGAACAAGCCTTTCCATCAATCCCAATAAGATGGTAATTATACCGTTTACCAGGAAGAGAAATATAAAGGGCCTTAATTAACTGACCCTCTTCAATAAGACGATCCAACTCTCCAGCGATGTTAGGTACCTTGGTCTAGAATTAGACAAGGGACTGACAAAGCAGCTGGACAAAGTCATTAACAAAGCCTATAAGACTTTTTGGACATGCAGAAGCATGTTTGGTAAAGCTTGGGGACTGCAGCCACATGTTATACATTGGATATACACTGTGGTTGTGAGACCCATAATTACTTATGGTGCCACAATATGGTGGCCCAGAGTTAAACTCAAAACAAGCAAGACAGAACTTAGCAAATTGCAAAGGTTGGCTTGCTTAGGTATCACAGGAGCATTTTGAACATCTCCAACAGCTGCACTGGAGATACTCCTTGGACTCCCTCCACTGCATATGCAGTTGGATGCAGAGACCAGGGCAGGAATTTACCGTCTCCAGTGCAGTGGACAATGGAAACCTAGATCTGATGGTTTCGGCCATGCATACATGACTCAGGACATGAAATAACCAATATTACAAATGGGTTCTGACAAAATGTTACTGAGACATGTATATGAAAAACCCTTTGTGGTCAGATTTCCTGACAGGAGTGAATGGGAAGACGGATTTCGGCCCGATAGAAAAGGGGGACTGATCTGGTATACAGATGGTTCCAAGACAAATAAGGGCACTGGAGCTGGTGTGTACTGCCATGGCACGAGGCAGAAACTTAGTTTCAGCCTTGGGCAGTATATGACAGTATTCCAGGCAGAAGTATATGCCATTAGAGCATGTATTATGGAGAATTTAGGTAGGAACTATAGAAATAGGAACATCTACATTCTATCTGACAGCCAAGCTGCACTTAAAGCGCTTGACAAACACCAGATCAATTCAAAATTGGTCTAGGATTGCCACCAAACCCTCATGGAACTGGCCAAACATAACAGGGTACAACTGATATGGGTGCTGGGGCATGAGGGTATTGCTGGAAATGAAGCAGCAGACCAATTAGCTAAAATTGGAGCTGAACATCCGTTCATAGGACCTGAACCAGCCTGTGGCATCTCTCTAGGAGTTGCCAAACAGGCAATCAGGGACTGGACTAACATAAAACATAAGAAATACTGGGAATCCTTAACTGGACTCAGGCAAGCAAAGGGACTCATACGAGGACCTTCCGATAAAGAGCGAAGGAACTGTTGAAGCTAAACGGGAACCAGCTATGATGGGTGATAGGACTACTTACAGGACACTGTCACCTTAAAGGACACCTGTTCAAACTGGGACTAAGTGATAGTCCCACTTGTGAGAGGTGTCAGATAGAAAATGAAACAGCCACACACGTCTTGTGTGAATGTGAGGCTTTAGCTTATTTAAGACTACGTCACTTTGGTCAGTATTTTATGGAACCAAGTGACTATTTTGACGCCCCCACGTCCAAAATCCTGCTCTTCATTCGAAGCGTGGGGTTGCTGAGGGAATAATTAAAAAAGGGAAGCACAATAGACCACTGTGGTCGCGGTGCAAGGGTCAAGAAGGCCTATCCCTCATACATTCATTCATTCATTCATTCATTCATTAACAATAATCAAAATACAGATTCGTATAACTTAGATTAAATTTATATAGACTCCTGTGATTAACTAATTAAGCATTACTCCTTGAAGGCGTATGGGGGAGTGGATGTATAGATTCATATTTTCTTCACACCGGAACTAGTTGGAGATGAGTGGTCAGCTTCACGCCCGGCCGCTTTTCCCCCAGGGAAAGAGACGCTGGTACTCACTGAATAAGAGGTTGGGTGGGCTCCAGAGCCGGTCTGGACGAAGTGGAGAAGAGAAAATTCTTGACCCTACCGGGACTCGATCTTCGATCTCTCGGTCGTCCAGCCCGTAAGCCAGTCGTTATACCGAGAGCGCTATCCCGGCTCTCTGTTTTATAGACCCATTCAAATATAAATTCTAGGGTTCAAGTACCGATGAGGTCATTGGATTTTTTTTTCAATCGACCTAATCCTTCCGGCCGCACTATGGCCCTGGGGTTCACTCAGCCTCGAACAGAAATGAATACCAGGAATTCATTAAATAATTTTCCTGGGGAGTAAAGCGGGGCCGGCGCGTAAGGCTGATAACCTTACCGCCATCTTTGAGCGGATTGTCTAGATAATATGGGAGCCTCAACGTCTCACAACCCTATGGACCTTCACGGCCTGTTACAGGGATAGCTTTACTTTTTACTTTATATGCACTTCCAGTGATTTGTGTGTCCACGTTTGTCTTTCGTACGCAGAATATACACAATGCATCATTCACGTTGACTCAAGCAGTCCCATAGCAGAATTTACACGTGGAACTTTCAATCCAAAATTGTTCAGAATTGCTGACGCGCATAGCCTCCCAACAAGGCATTCGGCACTAAGTCACTTGGTAAAACACAAAATAAAAACCGCGCTTCATATTCTCAAATTCGGTTCACTACAATATCTGACGGTCGTTAATTGAAAGTAAATGAAGCTGAAAACAAATAGAGCCATACCTTTACTTGCTTTGCTATCATACACGGGCACGCCGTACCGCAGTTGGTTGAGGCGGAAGGTAGCGGATTTGATTCCCGATGAGGTTATTGGGTTTTTCAATTGACCTAACCTTCCCAGCCGCACTATGGCCTGGGGTCGAAAATGAGTACCAGGAATCCTCCTGGGAGTAAAGGTGAGTAAGGCTGACGACCTTACCGCCATCTGTGATCCGATTGTCTAGAAAATGTTGGAGCCTCAACGTATCACAACCCTAAGGGCATCCACGGCCTGTCACCTTAGATCCTCACAACCTACACCCCTAAGATCTATCCCAACAGTACGGTCCAATCTACTTCTTGGTTTTACAGAAGGACGTTTTCAAGAGGCATATTTTAATTGGGCCACTGTTACATTATAACTCCAAAAGTCTTAAGGAAAAACAGGTAAATGATAGACAGTACAGTCAACTGTGTCTTGGGCTCTTTGTGGGGGAAGATGGTATATCTCCAGTTTTCTTATACTTTGGCACTATATTGAAATGAGTGATTAGCGTTAAGCTACGCCCGCTTTACCTCAGGGAAACCGGATAGAAAGCTGGATGGGCCACCGAATCTGTCTGAATGCCGTGGAAAAATATCAGGACACACCGGAAATCGAATCCCTAACCTCAAGTACTCTTGTCTATATAGTCACTATACTGACCTCACTTCTAGGCAAATACACAGGCTCTGAAACTGCCTGCGCCATTTCCCTCCAGTGCATCGTCAACTTTAGACTAAGGATTTGATGTTACTGAAGGAGCTGAACCTGAATATCAGGTTCTGCAGAGACCAGACATTCATGTTTGCTTGACGAAAGTACAGAACGCAGTACCGTTACATTTATGTATTTACGTGCATGCTCATCATGAGTTCAGAAAGGGGCCCAAATGGGTGTTCAGCATTTGGAAAGAATTGCCGATTATTAGGCCCATCATTAGACCTATATCAGTAAGTATATGTTACTGTATCGTCACCAGAATGCAGGACAAAATTATGA